AAAAAAGCGTAGAAAGGTAACAACTAAAACTGTTTCAGATGTATAGGTATATGTATTAATGGGATTATCTATACAGGAGATTATAACCCACGTTGCACACAGGAAACTGGATTTTCCTTTGTCACAGACAGAAGTTATATGTCCCTGTTTTCTAAGGTCTATGATTCATCATTCCTATCACAGTATCACACCTGCTAAGGGATAAACCACAATTGTTTGTTTTTCCAAAGTGGGCAATTTTGTCGCGTATTATCATTTCCGGAAATTACTTGCACGATTTCTCTACACAGGTGGTCAGCTGTTCTAATTAATTTAAATTTTAGTAGTACTGGTTATATTTTCCAATACTTTTCGCGTTGAATTTAAAGTTAAGCTGTTCCCTCAACAATTCACACCTATTACATCCATGTAATTAATGGTCCACCCTAATTATGCTGGCGTTTTTATCGAAGCCATATGGTTGTTCACCATGCATAAACAATGTACACCTTTTTATTATGTCGATTTTAAATGAAGCTGAATAAAGTCAGTCGCCTTAATAATGCCTAGTTGGAGTGTCCATAGCCACATAGTAGACTGTATATATTTTAATATAAAGGGTAGCAGTGGCGGAATCCCCGAAACATTGATATCAACAAATATTTAAAAAATGTTACTGTATCAAGTTGTATTTACACGAGCCGTCGACAGGTTGTACATTAGTATGACGTCACACTTACCTCGTATTCTACGTTGATTATTGACCCAACTGATGTATATTGATGAAAACATTCTTCCGCCCTGGCTCGTATTTGAATCGTGAAATCGTAGCTAACATATGGACGACTGCCAGTCTTCATTAACGGATCTCCCTGTGCTGGTTGCGTGTCTGGCTGCGCTAGTGCCGAAACGACTGTCGCGACGAGAAAAATGTATGTTTGAACCACTGAACCCATAGCTGCAATAATATCGTGGTCAGAAATGGAGGTCACAGGAGTTCCATGTTACGCAAACACGAAATAGTTAATGTTGTGATACTATCTCGCCAGCTGATAATAATTCTTGTATGTGATGCATGTATCGCATTCAAAAATAGATATGGTAGCGACCATTGTATCGAGGGGCGGCCGATAATCTGTGATGCAACGCATGTCATTGGAAACGCCCCAGAGACCGCGTAATGACTGTTCTTTTGTAGAGTTGTCAAATTAAACATGTAAATATATTTGCTACGTGACCTTTTAGATCGCACTATAACGAGCTGTGATGCTGTAAAAAATTGAAAAAATATAAATTGATAGTATTAGTCATATAATAATTAACGATTATTAATTATATAATAATTATTTTTGATCAGTACGAATAATTGTATATACCCCTCGTTATTACTCATCCCTACCTATGTAACAGAATAGTCGAGTCCATCATATTTCTCTCTTTGCACACGTGTCACTACCATTGGCGTGTTTTCATTAACATCTGGACAATAGGTCGTAATCAACGTTTTTTTTTTCAGTCGCGTTTCAGTCTATTTCTATGCGTTCTAAATATTCTGTGTATAATACTAGTATACGGTGAATTGCCTCGTACGTCTGGACACTGTCACTGTCACTATTGTGTTTGTATCAGCCGGTTTCAGTCATACTCACTAAATTTATGAATTTATAAATAACGTAGATGAATTCAACTCTTTGTTTGAATCGTGTCAGTTTCACACCTGCCGGTAAAATATGGAAGTAGGTGTTGACAGTAGATAACAAGTACTGTACTAGTATTTGTCAAAATTCATGTGTTGTGCACTGGCAATTCCAGCCTAAACTATTTATTTATTTATTTATTTATTTATTTATTTATTTATTTATTTATTTATTTATTTATTTATTTATTTATTTATTTATTTATTTATTTATTTATTTATTTATTAAAAACTGCGCGTAACGTGCTCACAGTATATACTTTCGATGTCAAACGCAAGAATTTCCGGTAGACTCTGTAGTCAATTAATTTTGAACTTATTTCTTTATTTCAATCATAACAGCTATGCGTATTTTCCTTACTATATCTATCTATGTTATCGTCCACCATAACTACACGGCTGTGTTTGTTTGCTGGTTGGTTACTGTCGTAACCCTCACGTGACCATGGCGCATTTAACACCTGACATTAGGCTTGAGATTACAGCTGATTCCGTATAGTAGGTTTCGGCCTCCGTGCCTCGCGGGATATTGAAAGCCAACTGAAATTAACAAATGGTCATGTTTATGAAAAAAATAACCAAGTCATTTGGCAGGACATTTATACATAAAATTATGCTATCAACTAAACTTTCCACCCCATAATCATTATCTTCGCCAGCAAAGGAACATTCGTTTCGGGTCACCCCTCCAGACTAACCCTTGGCAGATTGAACCACGAGGGTGTGTATGTAATAGGCGCCCCTAACGACAAGGAAGGGGAGATGCGACACAAATAAACAGCCAATCATCTATCTTGTATCAAAATAAAGTAGATCGGATGTTTTTAAAATGGAGACCCAAGCAGACTACAGATCACGCACTGGCAGTTTTTCAAGATAAAAAGCCCCATTGATCACCAAAATCATGCAATTGAGGAGTTTGTTGCAACGAGGACAGGGAGTGGCAAATCACGAAAATTGTGCGTCAGTTCACAGTCCCTCTATCCCCGGTCTAGAAACGGTCATTGTATTATGTGTGAATTGGCCTCCTTCCCTGGCAAAAGCGCATTGCGGGTATGTGCAACGCATTGTCACGTGATCAGTACGCAGCCGGCCACTATTTTTGACAACGTCAGTGTTATGTACTTTTTTACAACTTAGTTGTTTATTCCAGAATTCCTGCTTTTTCACATATTTTTTTAATCAGGATATCTGTATAAGGTCATATTTTAGCCGGCGAGTAGTTCTTTAATTCATTTATTTTACCAGCAGCGACACATTTTAGCAACAAATGTTCATACCTTTACCCAGATATTTGTCGTTTTTGATTTTGGGCTGATTGAAATGAATTCTATTTTATTTACCATACTTCTCGGCGCGAAACCAATATTTGTCTTCGATTTTGACATTTTATGATCGAAATTGGTGGGCTGATTTGTTATTTGTCACACCGCTTTTTATTAATGTTAAATTGTGCGACTTTTATGGATGCTTTTTAGATCGTAAATGCAAAATGACGTTTTGAAATGACAATGTACTCAATTCTGTGCTAAAAAATCATTTATATACAAACATTTAGGCATTGTTATATACTTTTGCATAGAATAAAGTCATTAGTTGTTGTATAGTTTCGATCGACTACGTTAACATGAACGACGCCATTTTGACAAGATTTGTTCAACGATGTTAGCATGTTGGCACGAGAATATTTTGCCCTATTTAAACGAGAAAATGTACATAATACCCGATATTAATTTTTGCATTGCAGGAACTGGGTGTTTATGAGCTGGTAGGCTGGTTGTGATGCGTATCAGGGTTCAAAAAACCTAAATTTCATAGTGATAATTTTGTTTACATGTTTGTTTACGTTGTGGTTGCCCGAATTTGAAATCAAAGTGAAGTCATACAATGAGGTATCGCCTTGCATGACGGTAAATTTTCCGATTTTAATGAATATTTTGACAGTACATGTATCTGTCTGACTTCCTGACTCCCTCGGCCCGGGTGTGAACGGTTTGTTTACCCGCACCGCGGTTCGAGACAAAAGAATGCCAGTCGTTTCCAGACCTAGGATAGAGGG